ACTTTTCCAGAGGTTCCAACCATGATTTTTGTGCTGACTCCAAGCTGTCTCCCAGCAGCCTCTTACTGCTTCCCTTAATCTTTATTTATGTTAGCATTGCAAGGGTCATATTTCTTCTGCTTCTGACTTCTGCCAATTGCAGACTTGTGAAACCTGATCCTTGACACCCAAATAAAGTTCCTTATTCTCCTGGCCAGCTCCTGCCACTCTGCACCAGACTTTAAGTCCTTTACATATTTCTGCACTGTTATCTTCTGGGTTGCATGAATACAAGCACACAAAGGTACACACATATCTTGGAATCGTTCTCATGGCAATAGAGGCCAGTAGGCAAATATGAACTCAGATGAGAATGCCAATCTTTGTTTGGAAAGTGGGAAAGACTAAGTCCAATTAGCTGCTTTCTTCTTCTAGATAATCTTCTATTCTTCTTCCCGATAATCACCAAATATCTGACCTGGAATTGAGTCACTTACTGCTGTACTGTTTAAAGATATGGGGCAAATAAAGCAGCTTTGCTTTTTGAGGTAGACCTCTTAAATACTGCTTTTGTAAGACCTGGAGTCCAGAATTTGGCTAAAATTAAAGGGTATTTGGGATGGGCTTGATAATTTTATTACAGATCTTTAAGATTGGAGCTTGAATCCATAGCCCCATTTGAATCAGGGCAAATATCTCCCCCAAGTACAATCATTCCTGTTCCTTGCCTTTTTGAATAGTCTTATAAATCACTTCTATACTTGCTTTTTCAACATTGCTCATGCATTACTTAGGGTGGCACATGTGTGAATCAGTGATCAAGTTAAAAGAGAAAACTATTTTCAGATCATGCCTGTGAAGTTGACAAAACACTGATTTTAAGAAAGAAAACTGCATTGCACACAACATGCTTTTTAGCAACTTTGAAGCCTTTTCCTTTAAGGCAAGATGAGTTAAGGACAGTTTGACACAATGCTGAAAATTACACTGTTTTATAGCAAAACAATCCATGTATCTATTCTATAGATTGCTTAGAGGCTGAATTTATTTACATATTTCCAATGCAAATGTGTCCTCATTTTTTTAGCTGACTGTAGAATTCCATGTTTTCAGTACAGAAGCCTCTTTTTAGATGGCTTTAAGCCCTTCCACCTTTCTTTGTAAAAAAAATCTAGTTGTTTACCTATGAGGAAAATAGCTGAACTCTGCAAGAATGAAAATATTGTAGCCTCAGGTTTTTCTACAGTTGAGATGTTAAAAACGACAGTGCTGAACAAGGAGACATATGACCAGTCCTTGTAGTTGTGGCTATAGCAGTGTCCCACCGTCACGTGATTGCCATTTGCGACCTTCACTGCTGGCTTTTGACAAGCGAAGTCAATGGGGAAGCTGGCAGGAGGTTGCAAATGGCAATCACGTGACATCATACTTAGTGACCATATGGGATTCACTTAACAATGGCAACCTGAACTGCCACAACTGCTGTTGTAAGTCAGCGTGGTCACATGTCATGCTTTACAACCACATTGCTTAGCGATGGAATTGCCGGCCCCAATTACCATCAAGTGAGGACTACCTGTATGTCATTTGCATGATGACATCGTGATGCATGTCAACATTTTGATATCCTCAGGATAGCTTGGTATAGACAATGCAACATGACCACTGGAATGCTGCCTTTGAATTCTAGGAACTGTAATCTCAACACATCTGGAGTTGGGGAAGATTGGCCTATTAGATTTTTAAAATGAATGCACATAGGTGGGCAGTGGCAGGAAGACTGCCACTGCAAAGTTCATCCTCTTCTACATCTGAATGAGTTTAAACAGCTTCTTTTATGAAGGGAGGAAGACCCTTGTTGAGTCTCCAAGTGAAGTTGGGTTTTGACGCTTGTCTGAGCTTGATTGTTTTCCAGCAGACATTTCATTAGCAGCCTAGGTAACATCAATGCATGGGAGAGTGAAGTTTCATTAATGATGTTACCTAGCCTAGTAATGAAATATCTACAGGAAAACAACCAAGCTCAAACAACACCAAGAACTCAACAGTTCGATGCTGACTATATACATTCTCTACTACTGGAACACCAAGTGAAGTGTTTATTTTGCATTATGTACTTTTCAGATAAGCTCAGTGGATGACATAGATTTGGACAATGTAGGCAACCTCCAGGAGATATCTCCCAGTTACTTCCTATCATACTTGTTTAAGGAACAAACCTCTAGCTCCCAATCCTTTCTAAGATTCATTGGTGCTGAAAGACCAGATTTGCCAAATAGCAGTACCTTTCTGCTTTGGGTTAAAATTAGATTAGCTCTTTTTACTTTATCGCACTCTCTTGTTTGCTCTGCATCACAGCAAATTGAATAGCATTACCAGCAAGCAAGGGCTACAGAGACCTGTTCAGAGGCCATGATTCCTTAAATGGTAGGAAGTAAGTTTCATTGAGCATAGACTCACTTCCATATAAACAGGTATAACAAAAAGGTTAAAAAGTCTTCTAGTTGGGTTCAGCTCCTGGAGATTCCATGGCTATACCTGTGTACTTTTCTTGGCAAAAGTGAGAAATGGTTCGCTATTGCCTTTTTCAGGAATGTTTTTTCAACTTCCCAATCTAGTCCACAGCCCTGGAATTTCCTGGTAGTGTCTCATCTAAGAATAACCAGCGCTGACCTTGCTCAATTTCTGCAACCAGACTAGGTTGGATAGGTCCTGCCATGTGCTGAAAGAAGTAGACATAGAACTGCATTGTAAAGCTCCAGTTAGAAATTGGCTAATCTGCATGTTGTCTACCCACAGCATGAACATTCTCTGCTGCATGTGTTGCACAGGGAAATGGGTGGCTTGTGCTTAGCTTCAAGCTGACAAGCTGCTGAAAGCATCATTACTAGATGGGAAACATGGTGTGACAGATATTGTCAGGCGTCCTAAAAAAAGACAGCCGCCTTCCCACACTTTTGACCTATATAGGCCTTTTGATAACCTTTCCCTTTCTCCTAGCAATGAATGAAATTCCAAAGGATGTGCTGAAGCCACTCGAACTGAATAAAATTAATATTTAATGCCAGATGCACCTGAGGAAAGCCTGAAGTATTCCATATTTCTTTACCTGTGATAATCAGCAGCACAGGATTGTTCTCTGTAGCTATTCCAGAAGTCAACTAAATGGAGAATATGAGTAGTTTGCTACTCTGAAGGTGGGGTGGGGAGGGAGAGGGAATGATGAACATTAATATTTAAACAATTGGGTAGCTGGTTCCCCGGCTCTCTCTTTTTATTGTACTTTAATGAGTTTGCCTAAAAAAAGTGGTTGAATTTCTACAATATACAAAGATACAGTCTAGTCAACCACATCTGAGCTTAGTGTGCTGTGTAAACCCAGCCTTTGTAATTTGTTTACAGTCCAATATAATTGAGTAAACCACAGTTATCAGTAAATGTATTATGCAAATGCAACTAGGGTGGGGATACAATATTTTACCATCTTCATTCTAATGAAAAGTGCTTGAACATTCAGCCTTACACACCGATGCCTGAACTGGAACCAACCTAAAAAAAGATGGTGCTTTAAAATAGATATTGGTTTCCTTTGGTTCAACATGCCTACTTTTGCTTATTGTGTGAACTGAAAACTCCTGGATTTAACTATGTAACAGTAAGAGGTTACACTGAGAAAAAGAATTTCTTACCATCTAATCTGGGACAGATTAATCTGAAGTTTCATCTTTCCACTACTTACTACCAAATATTTTAAAAAATGCTATCAATTCGCTTGATGTAACCTGGGGAGAGATTCACAAGAAAAGAGGCCAGAGAGAACAAGAACACTACATAGAATCACTGATGCCACAAACACAAGCTTGCAAAGACTTGTAGAACCATCTGTTTTCATATAAGCCTGTGTATTTGTCAAGACTGCTTTCAAAAGCTCTTTGTCCCACCTTTGTGTGAAATTATACACGCAAATACAAAAGGATGCTTTTCAATGATGTCACAAATAGGGTTACAGACCTAAGCTGCAAAAGTCTAGCCTACCACTAGATGGCAGCAGACATCAGCTGGCAGAGTTCTTTTGAAATTGAGTGGCTTAAAAGTTTCACAAATAAACACAACTCATGAGTGGAGACAATGTATAAAATATTTTCTCACTAGTCACTAAACAAGGGAATAGAGATCTGTGATTTTTAAGGGTTGCATTCATGTAACATTCTTAACCTTGTTCCTAATTTAACCTGTTTTCTGAATTTGCACAATCTTTTTCAACTCTAGTGATTTAACAAAAAAGTAATTGTCTTTCCTGTCCCATGTATTTTATTTACACTAATAATACTGCTTTTCAAAAATTATCATCAAATATTTCTGGTTGTATTTTAAAAAAGAAGAGCAGAAATGTACAGACTGAATTAATAATATTAAGCTGAGCCTCTTGTTCCATTAAACAAGTCCATTACAGGGGACAATGATGTAGTTTACAATGTCTGTCATAAACCCACATTGCTAAGGCATTTTAGATCATCAGGTATATCTTCAAAAAAAGGGAGGGGAGGAGAGGGGAGGGGGGAG